AGGAGGTGGGCTTATCAGGGATTGCACAGGGAAGTTAGCCTATGCCTTCTCTCTAAGACTGGGTAATTGCAATGCTTTCATGGCTGAGGTTAAAGCTTTAGAGTATGGGCTAGAGTTGGCAGCTAGAATGGAGCCAAGATATATACAAATTCAACTTGATAGCCAAGCGTTAGTGCAAACCCTGAAAAACAAAAATCAGTATATAGGCGAAGCTGTTCATAGCATTGCAAAATGCAGGAAGATCCTAGAAGATAACAACTGGCATTTTGAAGTTCATCATATATACCGTGAAGCTAATAGAGCAGCCGATTGGTTAGCCAACCAAGGAGTTTTGCAGAACAACCGCATCGAGTTGATTCAAGTCCCCCTTTAGCTTCAGGGAGAATTTTACATGATGATGTCGTAGGTGTGGCTTTGTCACGTTTTGTTCCCCCTTAATTTTTGTTTTTTTTGTTTCTTTTTCCGGGGCTTTTCCCCTCGTATGCACCAAAAAAAAAAACATGTCATGCGTGTATTGCAAAGTAAGCAGTTTTCTTGAAAAGAAAACCCTAAAGATTCTTTGTAGTTGTGAGGATGGTTTTTATCTAAATTATTTAATTGCATTTGAAAAATAGATAACTTTTGCAGCATTGCTTAAACACAATAGTTTTGGTTCACTCTAGTCTATGTCTAGATTGTTGAACATTCCTAATATTTAGATATTTGGAAATAAAAAATTAGTTAATTATATATGAGTACTACCCAAAAAAGGGCACCTTGTCAATAACCACCTGTTAAATAAGCTGTTAATTAATACCCTAAAATGTGATTAACTTCTACAAGAGAATTTACTACCTCTAGTCATATTCCTGCATGCGAACTTACTTTTAAGGTATTAATGGAAAATTTACCAATTGTATCCATTTAAAGTTTGTATTTTGCAAATTGCAGCAATTTAAAAAAAAATTACAAATTGCTGCCCAAAAGTTCTTATTAATTATAAATTGCAGCCCAATTTAACTTTTTCATCAGTTTACGTGTCAAAAAATATTCGATTAAGATGATAGGGGGCCATTTTAGTCCTTAAGGATCCAAATTGAGCTCGAAATTAGCAAAAAGATAACATAAGTGTTTATGATTAAACATCAGCGCAGTTTGCGAAGGTCTCTACTTGGAAAGATGCAAAGACATCGAAAATCACTGCTCGCATCACGTTTAAAGTGGTGGAGTATGAGATATGCCTGATATGCAAAATAGATGATTTTGATTAAAAAAAATTATGTTATTTACTCTAAATTTGTGCTTTACAAATCTTTATTATTATTGTAGATGTCGTATGACTATTTATTAATGATAATATTTTTCATTCTATCCAAAAAAAAGTATATATTTATATGTCTCACCTATTTTTATTTTAAAAGATCATTTATAATATACATACTAGGTTAGATCCCGTGCCATGCACGGTGATTGTTATAGATTATTCACAGATAAATATTATAATCATAAATTAGTCGAGAAATAGTAAAAGTATGTGATATGTTAGATTTTAATTGTAGCTTCTAATACACAATTAAAAATAAAAGTAGGCAAAAAATCAGAGCAATATTTTTTTTTGTTGTAAAACAGATCACAAAATATTTTTAAGAATATAATTTTTGGTTTATAGTTGTCCAATTTTCTATTTTAGAAAAACTATTTGTGAAATCTTTTTATTTTAAATATACTACATTAATATGGAATATGTACAGCAAATAATATTATTTTTGAAATTGATTTGTTTCCTTAATTAGGTAATAGACGTTTTTATATAAAAAAATAATAATAATTAAGGACACACCAAGAGATGACACATGTCATTGCTAGTGTGTCTTTTAGTATATAATATTGATTGATTGATTGATAATATCACAAGCTAAAATCAAATTTTACTTTTATAACCTACATGTTAAAAGAAGTCTAATTTACAATATCTCATTTGATAATTTTTTTTGTTTTTCTTTTGTACTCTCTCTGTCCCTTAATACCAAGTCTCATTTTTTTTTTGGGTAAATTAAAATACCTCTTTCTATTTCAATGTTGTATTTTTTTGACATTTATTACCCTCTTTTTGATGAGTTGTCATCTTTATTCTTTTATTTTTCATACTTTTAACATCAACTCCCAACACTTTCTATCTCTATCTCTTTAACTATTCTCAACTACTTTTTCTTTCTCTCTATATCTCTAATCCCACATGCACATAAGTCTTTTAATCATTAATTTTAACGAATTTACAACTTTCTTAATTCCCGCGTTAAAGCCAAAAAAGGCTTTGTATTAAGGGACGGACGGAGTATTATCGTACAAATATAGTCGTAGACCATTGAACATCAAACCTTTTAAGAAAAATAAATAAATAAAAACAAAAACAAAAAAAAAGGCCTAAACACCTTATTTTAGATGATCCGAAGTTCCGAACATGACGAATTTTTTTTTGTCTCGATGACGAAATTATTTTGTCTCCAACCCCCAATGGCCCCTATATAAGCACATTTGTAACTTGAACTAGTTACGCACAAATTCACTTCTTTCTTTACATTCTTCAAAATAACCCTGCTTTTCCAACTTCAATTCAACACACAATTATAAAATGTCAAGCTCACAACTAAGCAGATTTGCTAGTCAAGCAGTAGCACCCCCACAATATGTGAGTGTTTTGAGAGTTCGAGTGAATCATGTATTGGATACAATCCCTGAAGATGAGAAAGAGACCAACTTTGAGTCTTCTTCATCTTCAATTTCATGTCGCTCTGTTTTCTCTGGACCGCGTTCGTCTTTTCCTGTTACTACGCCATTCTCAAACATATCAAAGGGTAGCGTTTCCATCTTTAGATACTTGTAATAAGTTGTAAGTAGTTTGAGTAGTTAAGTATAAGGGTTTTTCAATTTTTTACTCTCCTTTTGAATTGAATAATCACCATGTAATAAGTTGTAAGTAGTTTGAGTAGTTAAGTATAAGGGTTTTTCAATGTTTACCTTAAATTATGCAATTATGATTTGTGCTTTCCTAATGAAAAATAAAAAAAGTTAAATGAGGTAAACTAATTATGAAATATGTTGTATTTTAATGCTAGATTCCAAATATATTTGTTTTTTTATTTTATGTGATTGATTTCATATGGGACTAACATTATGAAACGGAGGGAGTATTAACTAATTCTACTGTATTACTAATAGATTTTGGATTTGTGGAAAGTACCACAACCATCGACTTGTTATCTATATTCCTCATTTTCATTTTTTATAATTGTGCTATAGAAAATGGTTACCTTATTTTGTAAGGTTGAAATGGGATAATTATCGAATGCGTAGTGTACAATATGTTACTTCCTCTGTACCATAATATAATTTAAGTAAGATATACCATTAAAAAAAAAAAAGAGTAAGATGTACCTTATTTAACTATCATCAATATCTTAACTATTTATAAACAAAAATGATAAGAAATTGATATAAATTGTAAAACATTATGAATAGATCACATATGTGAGATCAGACTTTTTCGCCATAGTTTATAATTTTTTATTTTTTACCAAAAAAGTGAAACAAATATTCACTTTGTCTTAAATTACTCGTAACATTTTGAATGCTTGTCAATGCACAATTTTATCAATATCTTTTGTTTTTCAATAGCACCATCAATATATTTGATTTAACTAGTAAAACTCTTAAAAATTAATTTTTGAAAAGTATATATTAAGGTCTCTTGCCACAAGGAACTACCAACCCCCACCCAGCCACTACACCAACCACTAAGTCCCCACCCCTACTCGTGAACCAACCTAGCACCAACCTCGAAACCACCATCCTCTTCTAAACGCACCTATCAGCCAAACCCCCTCCCCACCCCAAAATTACCCTAAACCACAAAGGAAGAGGGGCCGATATTGTTAAGGGGGAAAGGAAGGGGCCAAAAACAGGGATTGGATAGGGAGGGGCATTGGAAACGAAGAAGGGGAAGGGAGGGGGTGCCAGGGATGGTAGTGCTGCTCGCCTATATGAGGTAGCATGTATGGGTTTGGTTTTTTTATTTTAAAATTTTTTTTTATTGTAAAACCCTAAATCGGAAAATTGGACGAAATAGGAGAGGGGTGGTGATACTTACTGATTTTGCATTTTTGGAATGATATTTTTTTATTACGTCAAAAAAAACGAGGCGGTGAATTCAACAAGCGGGGTATTTAGGGTGGTTTACAAAATTTCCTATATAAAATTTATTAAAAATAAGTTTACTTAAAAAAAAAAAATTCATTACAGTACAAATAAGTTCATTTTCTTAAAACTGTTTTTTTAAACCTATTATAACTAATTTATGTTCAATAAAAATAATTTTTACTCATTAAAAATCGATAAATTTAAAAACCAAATATAATAGAGAATATAAATTTTAATAAATAAAAAATAATAATAAGTTTAGTAAAATTAATTTAATTGAATGTATTTTATCAAAGTTAAGTAAAAATAACTATTCAAAAAAAAAAGTTAAGTAAAAATAAGTTTTATTCAATAAGATTAATATCAATTAAACAAAAATTAGGTGAAGTTGCCCTCAAAAAAAAAAAAAAAAAAAAAAAAAAAAAAAAAACAAGAGGTGAAGTTAACACAGCCTAATACCAAAACTCTATGCATATTCGACCCTTGCAAACATATTGTTGGGTCAACATCCAACCTGTTATGGGCTACTAAACCCACACAAAATCAAAACCCCTAAAAGCCCACCATTTTCAATAGATCCACAATTCCAGCATTTCTCAATTAAATCCCAGAAACCATGACAATGGTTCGAAAGGCGGCGTACGAGTTGCGATTACATATATCACTCAAGTACATAGCAGCCAATATTTTGGATAAAAGTGACGGAAGTTTAGTAGCTCAAGTGTCATCGATAGAGCACGCTATCAAACGAGCCTTTGAGCTCGGCCGCACCACCAAGAGTCCTCACGCTGCCGCCGTTGTCAGAGAAGTCTTATCAAGGCGGATCAAATTGGAGGCCCTGACAGATTTTGTATAAACACAAAATCTGGAAGCATAAAAATAGGAAGATCTGAAATATTCTGGAAAAACTGTAAGAAGAATATCAGAGAAAAATACAGAGGAAAAACTTGGAGAAAAAGTAAATGAAATCTATTTTGTGTTTGATTGAATGAATAATTCTTACATCATCTAAGAATATATACTACAGCAATAAATCAGAACTTTCTAGGGGAAATCTAGAAGTAAATACAGGAAGCTCAGAATCTGTTGTAACAGAATTTGTAACAGAATTTTAAGTTGTTACAGCCCTGTAACTAACTCTAACAAGCTCGAGCTGACGTGGCTGGGGTCTGGTGTCCAATATCCCCCCTCAAGCTAGGAACTGGATGAGTAACAGTCAATCCTAGCTTGGATAACAAATCCTTAAATTGAGCTGAAGGCAGAATTTTAGTAAACACATCTGCAAGCTGATGTTGAGTAGGCAAATATGTAAGCTGTAGTAATCCCTCAAGGACCTAATCCCGAGTGAAATGACAATCGATCTCAATGTGTTTTGTACGTTCATGAAACACAGGATTTCGAGCTATATGAAGAGCTGATTGACTGTCATAATGCAGAGTTACAGGTTTCAAATTAACAATCCCCAAATCTTCAAGCAACCAAACAAGCCATGAACCTCAGAAGAAGCTGTTACCATTGCCCTGTATTCAGACTCTGCTGAAGATTTAGAAGTTGTTCCTTGTTTCTTGGACTTCCAAGAAATAGGTGAACCACCCAAAAGCAGAATATACCCAGATACAGATCTTCTTGAATCAGGGCAGGCACCCCAATCAGAATCAGAGAAAGCCTGCAAGCATAGCTTATCTGAAGCCTTTAACAAAATACCTTGACCTTCAAAATGTGCCAAGTATCTCAGAGTATGCACCAAAGCATCAACATGACTTGACCTTGGATGCTGTAAAAATTGACTAAAAACCTGAACAGTATAAGAAAGATCAGGCCTAGTGTGAGTTAAAAAATTCAGTTTTCCCACCAATGACCTGTATTTCTTAGCATTAGAGTAAGGTGAGCCATCCAAAGCTGACAATTTACCATTCAAGGGCAAAGGTGTAACTGCCTTTTTACTGATGTCAAAACCATAGTCACTCAAAACTTCTCTAGTAAACTTCTTCTGACTGAGTATAATACCAGCTTCAGTATACCCTACCTCAATCCCAAGAAAATAGTTGAGACTTCCCAAATCTTTAATGCTAAACTCCATGTGCAAGAACCTTTTCAAAGCATTCAGTTTCTTAGTATTATGCCTGTAAGAATTACATCATCAACATAAACAGCAGCAACATTAACATGCTGATCATGTTTGTGAATGAACAAGCTATATTCATGCTTGCACTGCCTGAAATCCTGAGATTCCAGAGCACTCATCAACCTCTCATGCCACTGTCTAGAAGCCTGCTTCAAACCATAAATAAACTTGATCAATCTGCACACTTTCTTTTCTGGATTAGGAAAACCATCAGGCACTCTCATGTACACTTCTTCTTTCAGATTGCCATGCAAAAAGGCATTATTCACATCAAGTTGAAATAATGGCTAATTTTTACTTGCAGCAACAACAATTAAGCATCTAATTGTGCTCTTTTTGACCACAGGACTGAAAGTCTCCTCATAGTCTATTCCATATTTCTGATTAAAACCCTTAGCCACCAATCTAGCTTTACACCTTTCTAAAGAACCATCAGCTTTCAATTTTACTTTGTAAACCCATTTGCTGCCAATAGCCTTTTTTTTTAGGAGGTAAATCCACTAATTCCCAAGTATTATTCTACTCAAGTGCTAGAATTTTCTTATTCATGGCTTCAATCCAAAGGGGATCTTGAGAAGCTTCATGATAATTCAGAGGCTCTTTGATGTCACAGAAATGAGACAGAAAAGCCTTGAAAGAACTAGGATAACCTTGATAAGAGACAAAATTACACCAATGCCTCTCACAATTTGTATGCACATGAGTAGAATCAACATGATAACAGAGATATTTGTCAAGGTAAGATGGTGCTTTATGTGGTCTTGATGATTTTCTAGTCTGATCTATATGTGAAGAACTTAGATCAATTAGAGAATTAAGATCTGAGAAAGGGACAGGAAGAATAGGAGGTAAATCAGTATGAGAATTTGTAGGTGAAGAATTATGAGAAGGATGAGAATTTGTGGAAGTAGAGGAATCATTTGGAGAACTGGAATCAGACTGAAAAGATTGAGGTGGTGTAGAATCATGAGAAGGGAAATAGGGTATATTTGGAGTATCAGGAAAAATGGTAGGAGAAGAAGAAACAGGAAGATAGATAGCATTTGAGTAATTTAAGGTAGGGGATGATTTCTTGTTGTAAAGATGAAATGGGAAATGTTTCTCATGAAAATGAATATCTCTGGAAACAAACATTTTGTAGGTTTCCAAGTCAAGAACCTTGTAACCCTTCTGAGAACTAGAATAACCCAAAAAGACACAAGGTTTAGCTCTACTGTCAAGTTTAGTTCTACCAACTTTGGAAGTAGAAACATAGCATAAACAACCAAATGTTCTGAGATGAGTAAGATTTGCCTGTTTCATATAAAGCTTGGAAAAGGGTGTTTCATGGTTTAAAACTTTGAGGGGCATTCTATAAATAAATTAGGCTGCACACAACACACTTTCACCCCAAAACCTATCAGGTACCCTAGACTGAATGTATAGACTCCTAGTTGTCTCAAAGAGGTGTTTGTGTTTCCTTTCAACTACCCTATTTTGTTGTGGAGTAACACTACAACTTGTTTGACTCAAAATGCCAAACTCAAGGAATATTTTCTTCATATCTCCCTCACAAAGTTCCTTAGCATTATTAGATCTCACACATTTCACAACCACACCAAACTGATTGGTAATCATTTTCAAGAAATCTCTCATAACCAAAACAGAATCATTTTTATTTTTCAACATATGAATCCAATTAAATCTGCTATAATCATCAACAATTTTGAGAAACTGATTACAGCTAGTTGGAGTCTTGACAAAGTGTGGACCCCATACATCAATATGCAACAACTCAAAAGCAGAAGTAGTCTTAATGCTACTGCTAGGAAAAGACAACCTAGTCTGTTTTGCAACAGGACACACTTGACATATTGTGTTCTGTATACAATCAGTCACATTACAATCTGGAACAATGTGTTTTATTTGACTAAAAGGTAAATGACCTAGCCTTAAGTGCCAAAGTTTAGCATCATTAATAGCAGATAAGCAAACTGATTTGCAAACATGAGCCTGTAACTCCCTTGAGCTTGACTGTAAATGCTCTCCCACATTATATAGCCTAGATTGCACACTACCTAGAGGAATCAATGTCCCTTTCTTAGAATAAACAAAGCAATTATCATGAGTAAAATGCAGTTCACATCTCAAATCCTTACACAACTTGTGGACAGAAATCAGGTTAAATTGAAAATTAGAAACATGTAACACATTAGTTAGGGTTATAGAATCATTTAGCTTGACTGATCCTATGTGTTTAACAGCAATTTTACTACCATCTAGTATAGTAATGTAATTACAAGCACCTGTTACTGTATGATATTCAGAGAATTGAGCTAAATCATAACAAAAATGAGCTGAAGCTCCACTATCAAGCAGCCATTTATGATTAGAATGAGATAGTAAGCAAATATTACCTGCCATCATGGCTAGTTTGTTCTGCTACTCACAATGATTGTCCTGAGTTTCCTGATTTTGCTTTGCTAGAAACTCCATGAACTGCTGGTATTGTTCCATTGAAACAGGTGTAGTAGTACTGCTATCATTCTTGCTTGAGAATTCTGAGACAGCAGCAACACGATTTCCTTTGAAACCTTTGAAACCTAGAGGATATCCTTTAAGTTCAAAGCATCTATCTACACTATGCCCTGAAATTTGGCAATGTGTGCAGAAGTAATTAACACCAGCCTTTGAACCATTTCTTCTGTAAGAAGCTCCAGTAATAGAACTATTTGCACCAGCATTTCCTAAAGAAGTAATTTTGAACATCTTCTAAAAACCTTGATTATGAGGTTTGTAAGACTTCTTTCTCCCAAAATCTGAATTGAACTTCCTCTTTTCTGCAGCACAAGCTAATGATTCAGAGTGTTCTGTAGCTTGTGAAATTTCTTTGTGTCTTTCTTCTTGAGCAAACAGTCGAAATGCTTCAGTAACTTTAGGCAAAGCCTGCATCAACAGTATGTTGCCTCTGATAGTAGCAAACTGATCATTGAGCTTCATCATGAACTGTAGAACCATTTTCTCTTGCTGGCTCTGAAAGATCTTCTTAGTGAGATTGCATGTGCAGTTATTACAAGTGCAATAAGGTAGAGGATGAGCTTCCTCAATTGCATCCCAAACTGATTTGATATCAGTAAAGAATTCTGAAACTGACTTATCACCTTGACTAATATCAACCAATTTTTGTTCAAGAGAATAGATCTGAGCCATAGAAGCATAGACAAATATTTCATCAAGATCAGTCCAAATTTCTTCTGCAGACTTCAGAAACATCACACTCTTAGCAATAGATTCATCCAGATTGTATAAAATCAAAGAACACACTAAATCATTACATCTCTCCCAAGCCTTTCCTTCAATTGTTCCTGCAGTAGGCTTAGAAATGGTTCCATTGACGAAACCTAGCTTGTTCTTAGCTGAGAGAGTTAATAGCATAGATCTCTTCCAGCTGGTAAAACCTTCACCATTAAACTTGTAAGAAACAAGTTGAACTGCATTGGCATCTGAAGGATGAATATAGTAGATGCTTGTTGGATCTTGATTATGAGGTAAATTGCTTGCTGCCATGATTTCAGTAGATCAAAAAAATCAATCAAATGACTGCAAAAGATCAGAATCAATTCAAGAAATTTGCAGATGAACTGAGCATCTCAAGTAATCAGGAAAAATCAGTAAAAATTCAGATCAGAATAAAGAATTGCAGGAAGAAAAATGAGGAATCAATCGATGAAAAACTCAGGTAAAATTAGATAAAAAACAGTGCGGAAATCAAGCAGGAAGAACCACAGATTAGATCTTCATGCTCTGATACCATGACAGATTTTGTATAAACACAAAATCTGGAAGAACAAAAATATGAAGATATGAAATATTCTGGAAAAACTGTAAGAAGAATATCAGAGAAAAATACAGAGGAAAAACTTGGAGAAAAAGTAAATGAAATCTATTTTGTGTTTGATTGAATGAATAATTCTTACATCATCTAAGAATATATACTACAACAATAAATAAGAACTTTCTAGGGGAAATCTAGAAATAAATACAGGAAGCTCATAATCTGTTGTAACAAAATTTGTAACAGAATTTTAAGTTGTTACAGCCCTGTAACTAACTCTAACAACCTCGAGCTGACGTGGCTGGGGTTTGGTGTCCAATAGGCCCTTAATCGCAACCACCGAGGTTTGGAAGATGGGATTCACACTAATGTTTGTAAACAAGTTCAGAAGAAAGGGGTAGAAGATAATACTGCTAATGCTAAGATTGTTTGGGATTTATTAATACGCTTCGTGAAAATGGGATAAGGATTATTGTCGAGGATGATAATGGTGATTTGTCATGATTTTGTTATTTAATTTGTAGCTTAAAATTTGGAAACAATATGAAATGGGATTAGGAATATTATTCAATTTTTAAGTGTTTGGTTTCCTAAATTGTCCTTATAAATTTACAAATACTTTTTTTTTTTTTGGAGATCTATGTAATGTCCTCGCCTCTAGTATTTAGTACAATTATAAATTTATAATAGCTATACCGAGACCTTGCCATAATGCCATTATAGTTACTAGGTTAGTTTTTATGCCAGTAATTTTCAATAATCATTATTAAAATATGTTTTAATTACTTTTTTTTTTTAGGGAAATTTTGCATTTAAGCACATTTTAAATCTCATTTTTTTTTCAATCAACCACCTTTTAAAAAATGTTGCAACTTAACACCTTACGTCGGAAAGTGATTGTTTGATTTTAAACTCCGGCGTTGACCGTATCACGTACAACGCACTTGACGTTTAATGAGCCCTCACCCCCGCTTATCTTTCTTTTTCTTCTTCGATTTCTTAGATTTCCTCCCTTGTTTCTCTTTCTTTGTTCTCTCTCTTGTTCTCCGATCCTCCTATCTCGCATCTCCTCCATTGTTGGTGTTGCTTCAAGTAAATTTTTTGCCTTTCTCTTTCTTCTCCTTTTCTTTATTTTCCATCTTAGTCCCTTCTCTGTTAAATCCTTCTCTTGTATTTATTTGCAAAATCAATAAATTAGCGCTAGCTAAATTTACTTTGAAATCGGTTCTCATAGGTGTAATGTCTCAATCTCCAGGACACACAAAAGTATGGATGTGGTGTCTGTAGACAATCCCCAAAAACCAAACCCAATGATAAATATCTTTCACATCGTTGAATATCGAACAAGCTGAAATGTGAAAGATTCTCGTGATGCACTATTTTAATAAAAAATCTTCTTTCTTTTTTCCAAAATATTTTCTTTCCGTACCCTATTTATGAAAATGTCCAGTCCACTTTAGTTTGGTTCATGATATGGATCTAATAATAGTGTAGTTGGATGAGGCTCGAAAAGTGCTTTCCAACGATATATTATAAGCCCAATTCCGATGAATAATGAGGAAGTTATAGCCAAAATACTAAACTAGACCCAAACCAGATTTTACCTATGATCCAATGATCATGTGGAGGGTCCAAATATTTAACCGTATTCCAAAACTAATTAGGAAAAATTAGAAGCTTCTATAAGTTACTAAGAGATTTTAATCATCCTTTTTTGAAAAAGTAAAATCAAAGAGTTTGAAATTTAATAAAACTCCTCTTTTTTAGAATCCTCATTCTGTGCGAAATGAAAGATGATCATATATTATTTTTGTTTGGGGCAAAAATTACCCAACGCGTGGACCAATTCCCCCTAGTGACACGTGACCCAATCATAGGGCAACATGTGTCACTTTAGGAAGAAGCCACATATGCAACCCTATTTAAGAGCACCTGAATAAGGTAGAAAAAGGGCCTCCTTACATCAAGAGGCCCAAATTCCAAGAAAGCTGCAAAACGACTTCCTAATCAAGGACACATGTCCCTATCTGATTGCACCGCCAGTCAGAAAACGTCATTCTAGGGTAGAAACTCTAAAAAGCTCATATCCCCACCCCTATATATACCCAAATCATTTATGATGGGAGGGGTGGATTAAGACATAGCTTTTATTAGAGCAATAAACAATTCCAACTTCTCTCTACTTTCATTCTTTAGCCTTTCCGATTTTATGTTACTAACTTAACCGTCGAAGACGAATATTCCTTCACCGCAATATTCGTGTTTTGCAGGTGTCCAAGTCTACTTGTCAGAAGAACGTGACCAAAGTCCGAGGAAATCACAAAATCACCCGAAATATTTGGTGCCGTCTGTGGGGATTCTCGTCTGTTATGGCAATAGATGGTCAGACACCTAACACCGGTCCTGATTCTGGTGAGGATGGACATGTAGAGGATATAGTTGCAACAATTAATTCTAGTGATCCTCTGATCGCTTCGTTTCATGAGGCCAAGGATCCTCCAGTTACTACTGGTTCACTTAAGCTTGCCTTGAGTAA